AATCTAACCAGAACTACCACATACTCCTTCCTTCAACATTTTCCCCTTGATTTCTCCTGTATCATATTTTAGATATGTTCTTTGGCATAGGGATGTGGTTCTCTTGTGTTCTATAGTTTGAAAAAGCACAGAGTTGCTATTTTAAGAAATACATACATATATTTATAGCAAGGAGCTTCTCTCACTCATTTTACTCTTTTAAAGAGAAATTCTTGCAAAATCTGAAATCAAAAGTCCACAGCTAAGTAATTATCATATTCGAACCAAACTATCCTAAAAGATTGCCAATTTTCAAATACTTTTTCAGGGTCAATTAGAAAAAAAACAAATGATGAAGAGGCAGGAAAAATAAATATTTTAGGCCAGTATTTTCAGCCATGAGTTTTACACTTTATAAACAGATTCTAGTTGGATGGTTATGCTCTGAATGTATAATTAAAGCTAAAGCTTTATTTGTGTTGGGTTTTATCTAGTTTTTATGGTTATTTCCCTTTGCTCCATGTCTGAAAACACAAAAGCCACAAGATTCTGCTCTGTCTCCCATCAGTAATAACATACTCAGATGCCTTAACCCAGTGTTTCTCAACCTTGGTAGCTTGAAGATGGGTGGACTTCAACTCCCAGAATCCCCCAGCCAGCACTGGCTGGGGGATTCTGGGAGTTGAAGTCCACCCATCTTCAAGCTACCAAGGTTGAGAAACACTACCTTAACCTAACTGAGAGCACAAATAAAGGCCAGGTTTTATTGACCATTAAAACAATTTTAATTGGTGTGCTAGATATAAAGTTGATTGAGCTGAACTGTGACATACTGACCAGGAACTGGAGAGAATTGGCCCCTTACAATGTGCAACTCTTGTTCAGATTATATAAAACCTTCTATGCTCCATGGACAGGTAGGTTGTACCTCCATTCATGAACAAAGGAAAGGTATACATTTAAAAAAGAAGTTAAAGATTCGCTCTATTTATTTATTTATTTAAAACATTTATATGTTTCAGCCAATTCTGGGTAGTTCCCAATCAAAAATTGAAAGACACATTAAATAATTTAAAAACTATAAAACACAACCAGTTAATATTTATTTATTTGAAACAAGCAAAACTTCAAAGAACTGCATATATACCTCAAAGTCCAGGCAATTTACTTGACAAAAATATAAGAGTGGTTTGCCAGTGCTTTCTTTCAGGATCTTTTAATGTTCTTGTCTAGCTCCCAGTCCAAGGATTTGCCGCTGGCCTTCCAACCAATGCCAAACACTTTGACCATACTTAGCTTGTTTTAAGGTCAGATAATGTTTCTTATGAAGTTTCTTCACTAGCTGCCCAGAGTTTTTGACAGTTGGGCAGCATGCAAGCTTAATTAATAAATTATAAAGTATTATGATGACTTCCAAGGGTAGTGTGGTAAAATGACTCTGAAAGTGGAGCTGATAACTGCAGCAAAGACCAAGGAATCAGTGGGTAGACTGATTCCTTGGAGCCTCACTGGATAAGGAGAGAACAGGAGATTACCCACATGCATTCTGGATGGCTGCTCCTCATAAGAAGACAACAGAACAGCAGTTTCCGTAGGTTTGAGTGGGAGATGATAGGTCTAGTAATTAACCAGCAAAGGAAGTCTATGTTTTAGCCTCCCAAATAATCAAATCAACAAGTGGGAAGCAAAAGAGAGTCCTCTGCTTCTTTCCAAGAGTTTCAGGGCTCAGTTAGTTGCATGTGTATGCTCTAGTGGCTTTGTTTTCCCCCTATTAGAAATGCAGAGTGTTGCTTTTGGAACCTGAATTGCTTCTCTAGGCAAGCAGTTTTTCTGCATCTGAAATTAAGAGTTCACGGAGAAGCCAATACCATGCACAGGAAAGGTCAAAACTAATGATCCCAGCAGAGATACTAGATAAGGATTATGGACATTTGTCACTGAGAACTTTTATTATTGTTTGTTTTTCTATAAGAAGCAGGAGACAAGACAGAATCCATGCATCCCCATATCCATTTCCTGCCCTGCTGCTTTCCCATCTCTAATAGACACAGTCAACTTTTCTATAGGACACAAGGAAAGTAAATTTAGTGTTCAGAGCGCAGTCTTGGATTCTTTTCTACCCACTGGGACTGAAACTGTGACCACCTTCTTGTCCAAATGTTGCTTCCATTCCTGATTAATATGATAGTCGAGGGTTAGGAGGGAGCAACTTTATTCAGACAGATTGGGTGGATTTCAACACTGAAAGCTGTTGCCCAAATATCTCTGGTGGAAATCTGGTTGGAGAAGGTTGGTTTAAATATCCTTTTAAAAGTCTCATCATCAAAGGCAGTGGGTATCGACTTTTCTGCCATCCACTGGTGGGTTGCTACTGGTTCGCCCCAGATCAGGCAAACCAGTAGTGGCGGTGGTGGGAGGCTCTGCCCACCCACCCGGACATCTCTGTGCATGCGCAGAAGCTTCTGCACATGTGGAGAAGCGTCGTCACACGCACACGTGAGCACACCCACGCCCATGAATGAACCAGTAGCGACTGAAATTGAAACCCACTACTGGTGCCATCCCAAAACAATGGTGAAACCACTACATTTTAGTACCATGCCATTTGGAAGCAGAAATTTACCAACATGATTAGAAATACAACATGGATTTGATGTAATTTTGTTTTTAAAGGACCCCCCAAAAGACCCTCCAATTTAGAAAGAAATACAGATATCCCCATGCATGCTACATTTTTCCCTGACTCTTGTTCTTTCCACAAGCATTAAGTAGGCAGTAGACAATGAAATCTCATACCTCCAGAATGAGCTTGCTGCCTCCTATCCTGCCAGTATTCACAGAGCTGGGCCACTTGCTAGGACAGGATGACAAAATGATTGGATCTCTCTGAGAGGCTCCAGCCCTCCTCAAGGTTGAGGTGCAGCTGCCTATGGCACTCAGAGAAAGCAATCAATTAGCTACCACCAAGGTGCTTTTCAATTGTTTCGCTAGTATGACACTACCTGCCATGTGTGCTGCTGTGGGGAAGGGGGTGGACATACTGGGCAGTTTTCTGCAAGTATTGTAGAAACAACTAGTTGGGATTAAGACTCATATACTTTTATAAATATTAATATTTAGCGAAGACTTTGCAATACTTTGTGGAAGTATTAACAACATGCAGTAAATATGTGCTGCTGAATTTCAATAGCTATCAGATTTCATAGCTAATGGAAATAATAGCTATTTTAAGTTTGGGAACATCAAGCCTTTATTACATTGTGGAAGTTTTAGAAACTTGACAAGAATGGAATCTTTTAAAAAGCTGCCTCCTGAATACATTAGCCATTACTGTTCTCTCATAACCACCTTTAATCTGGTCAACAAACAGTTCCACTAATATGCTAAACCAGGGTGGCACTGTATATCTTTTATCTCAAAAAGGGAAAAGAAAACCAATCTCTTTAACCTCCATATGTACTTGGTGATATGGTTATACCATTGCCTCAGTACCCAGATCATTTATTATGGTATCAACATATTAAAAATGCTTCCTTTTGGTGTCTACCACTTATAACGGTAGATCCAGATTATACAGTAGCTTTATAGGCTAAGACAGTTTTGAGGGAGGTTCATTAGTTGGTTTCTTTTTCTCCTAAGAACCATGTTGTATGTGGGGTCAAAGATCAAAATGAACAAGTTGGGAAGTATTAAATTACATAAATTTACTTACATATATAATATCCAGGGGTGGGCTGCTGGGGGTTTGCAAGGGTTCAGGAGAACCTCTAGCTAAGATTCTGTGCTGTTCAGAGAACCCCCAAATCCCACTCCTAGCTGGCCCCACCCACCCCTCCCAGGAGTCCTCATGTGGCCTGGTTTGGATGCAGGTAAGTGCAGGGCGTGCACAGAGGCTTGGGGAGGGTGAAAAACAGGCCTCCTGGAAGTTCAGGAAGGCAGGAAACGAACCCGTTTTCAGGCTCCAGAGGGCCTCCGTAGCCTGGGGAGGCTGTTTTCGCCATCCTGGAGGCTTGAGGAAAGCCTCTAGAGTCCAGGGAGGGCAACCCCCCTCCTGCCGTGGTGCAGGAGGACAACTAGGCCATGCTCACTATGGCCATGGCCACCCAGCAACCTGGCGGGGAACCCCTTGCTAAAATGTTTGAAGCCCACCCCTGATAACATCCTCTCTCTGCCTCACCCACTCCTCATAAACATATACACAAGAGTAACAGCAGCTTTTCCTTTCAAATAAAAAACCATGTGTTTGAAGATGCAGTACCTTGAGAAGTAGGAAAGAGGACCTTCTTAGAGCCTTGTGATGTCATCTCAGAAGTCCATTTGCCAGATTTGATCTGTGAGCCATGGCCTCATTTTTTAATCACTGCTCTGAAAATAACATTTATTCATAGCCTGTAAGTCTTTAGCTGAATACTATGGAATTTAAGAAGGAGATGTTTCAGGCATGCATAGTTTAACAGTATCTGTAAATTGCTTGCTATACATGAAATTGTCTGTTCCTGTATGATTTTATTTCATCAGGAACTCATTACTTCTGGTGAGGCTGAATTAATGAATTGCTAGCCTGCTATTTTGTAGTTCTTTTTATCTTCCAGATGATGAGAAGGTGGAGGAGAATTTTCTGCCTCTCACTTCTATCTCACCTTGTTGCCACAAGGCAGTCAATGCATAATGAAAATAAAACACAAAGATGAAAAATATCATGAAAGCCACTAAAACCACTAGACACGCTAGCACCAGCTGACATATTCTGACTAAAATGGAAGCCCTTCACCCCTCCCTAAAAGGCAGCTGGAGGCAAGTAAATCTACCTTCTGAGAAAATTATTTCTCTAGCTTCAGGAGGATATAAAAAAACAGCCCTCTTCTGTACGTCCAACAAATGGCCTTTGAAAAAATAAAAGCATGTTTCAGAGGGCCTCTTCTCATACTTTAGCAATCTAACTGTTCTAGTTCCTGTCCCATTTATTTTCTTTGCCACAGAGGATTACCATATTCTGTTGTTGTTTTTTTTGTTCTTTGCAGGTGCCTCAGGGAGACTGGAATAATATGCTGACTAGGGACAAAGACAATGAAATTCCATGCCGGCGCATGAGAAGCGGGAGTTATATCAAAGCCATGGGTGATGATGACAGTGAGGACTCGGAAACCAGCCCCAAGCCATCTCCTAAAACTGCAGCACGGAGGCAAAGTTACCTCAAGGCCACTCAACAGTCACTGGGCGAGCAGAGCACCACTCAAAGGTACATCCTTCTAACTTCAGAATTTCCTTCTTTCAGTAGTACAACGTCTTTGGATGTGGTGACTATGGCTCAAGTGAATTTCAGAAGGGAGAGAATATGCCTAATTTCACGTAGAAAGAAGGGGTCTAGAAGGAGAAGAGAAAGGCAGAAGTGGATAAAATGTAGAATCCAGTGATGGGATTCAAAAAGTTTTACTACCAGTTCTGTGGACGTGGCTTGGTGGGTGTGGCAGGGGAAGGATACTGTAAAATCTCCATTCACTCCAGGGGAAGGTTACTGCAAAATCCCCATTTCCTCCCGATCAGCTGAGACTTGGGAGGAAGAGAATAGATGGGGGCGGGGCCAGTCGGAGGTGGTATTTACCAGTTCTCCAAACTATTCAAAATTTCTGCTACCAGTTCTCCAGAACTGGTCAGAACCTGCTGAATACTACTTCTGATAGAATCTGAAAATCCTAGAATTGGAAAAGGCCATTTAATACAATTTCTTTTCAGTGCAGGAATCCAAATTTAAGTACAAGTAGTCCTCAACCACAATTGAGACCAAAATTTATGTGGCTAAGTGAGATATTTGTTAAATGTTTTAAAACTTTTCTTGGCACAGTTGTTAAGTGAATCATTGCAGTTGTTAAATTAGTCACATGGTTGTTAACTGAATCTGGCTTCCCCGTTGATTCGGCTTGTCAGAAGGTCGCAAAAAAATAATCACATGACCCCAGGATACTGCAACTATCATAAATATGAACCACTTGTCAAGCATCTGAATTTTGATCATATGGCCATTGGGATGCCGCAACGGTCGTTAAGTGTGAAAAATGTCATGTCACTTTCAATGCCATTGTAACTTTGAATGGTCACTAAATAAACTGTTGTTAAGTTGAGGACTACCTGTATTCCTGCTCAACAGATGTCTGATAACTTGAATGCTTCCAATTAAAGGAGCCCACCACCTCTCTGCCTAATTGATTCCATGTCAAACTGTAGCAACTTTAGGAAATTGTACATAAGGGAAGCAAAACTTGGTGTATGATAGAAAACAGTGAGAGACCTCTGCAAGTTACTTCTGACACAGACAAAAGAATGGGCATTTTTAGATATCGTGACCTCTCGAAGAAAGACTATTATTTTCTGGAGTGTGTGTGGGGGCAACCTGCACTCCCTCTTTTGTTGCCCACCAAACTTTTAGGAGCCTAGCACGCCTTTCCTTGCCATTCAATTGATCAGCCTACAATTGTTAGCAGAAAGAGATAGTTGATTTTTCACAGCTTCAGCTCCATCCCTCCAAATTACTCAAGAGTCCTGCTTTATCAGTGTAAATGGGATGATGTTCAGAGTATATACCCTGTTTCCCTTAAAATAAGACATCCCCTGATAATAAGCCCAATCGGGCTTTTGAGCGCATGTACTAAAATAAGCCCCCGCTGAAAATAAGCCTTCCCTGAAAATATTTAAATGCATGCGCAGCCGGTCCCCACCATTTCCTCTGGTTTCCTCCATGTGCCCCAAAATAATAAGACCTCCCCAAAAATAAGGCCAAGCACTTATTTCGGGGTTCAAAAAAATATAAGACAGGGTCTTATTTTCGGGAAAACATGGTAGTAATGGCAGGAGGGATACATATCCCTTCTTAGAGATAGACATTTGCAAGTTTGAGTTAAACCTGGTTGAGTTGCCTTTCATTGATGAAAAATTAGAATGCGAGAGGCGTTTATTCAGAATTTGGTGAGGAACACCAGTTAGAACAGGTAATAATGAATTGTGAAACCACCAACAGAAAGGATTAGCTTATCACTCCATGAACAATATTTACTACATGAAGGGAACTGGACTCAGCTTCATTATTTCCCAATATTGCTATAGTCATCCTAATTTATTTGTTTGTTAGATTTGGAGACTGCCTATAACTCCCAAAGGACTCTCAGTGGCTTACAATACACAGGGGAGGAAAAATCAAACAAAAAATATGCGTCCAGAAAAATAAAACAGCCAAACATTCCCTAATCAACAAAAACTAATGATATTTTTAACAACTTCCTGAACAACTGTAGAGTCAAAATCATTTGAATTTCTGGGGGATGTTGTTGCAGAGGGCAGGTACCACAACAGAGAAGAACATTCTAATTCCTGATACGTGGCATTGTTTGAATGAAAGGATCTGCAGCAGGAGTGGTATTCCCTTACCTTTGCTACTGGTTCGCAAATGTGAGCACACGTGCCACCTCCGCGCATGTGCAGAGCATCAAAAACGGAACGTGATGATGTCCGGGCAGGTGGGCGGAGCCTCCCACAGCTGCCACTACCAGTTCTCCCAAACCAGATAGAACCGGCTGAAACCAGATACCACCACTGATCTGCAGCATATGCATTCAGCTTAATCTTCCTAGGTGGGCATAAACAATCAGAAACAACCAGTGGTGGGATTCAGCCAGTTCGCACCACTTTGGGAGAACCGGTTGTTAACTTTCTGAGCAGTTTGGCAAACTGGTTGTTGGAAGAAATTATTAGGGCAGAGAACCAGTTGTTAAATTACTTGAATCCCACCACTGTAAACAACCAAGCCTTGTATACATGTAAGGTTTTATAGGTAATAATGAATTGCGCCCAGAAGCCAACTGGTAACCAATGGCAGCTCAGGAAGCATGGATGGGCATAATTTACTGTATATGTTTATATGTATGCACATACATTTGTATCAGTGGTGGGTTCCAACCGGTGTTACCACCGGTTCTCTTCACGCACGCACTTTGCGCACGATTGCCACATGCTTACTCGCTTCACTTGCACATGTGCCAGACTTGCACTCTGCGCAAGCACGTTAGGTTTCTGCCCAGCTGAGGTGTGGCAATCCACTCTACGGCGCCTATCAGCTGGGCTAAAAACCAAGAAATAAAGGTAGGAATAAAGCGGGGCTGGGCAGGAGGGCCCAGCTCCCAGTCACAGAGAACCGGTTCGGTGACGTCACATTGTCACCACTACCGGCTTGGCCGAACCGGGCCGAACCGGGAGCAACCCACCACTGGTTTGTATGTAAAACAGAGATGAAGTTAAGGAACGAGACAATATTTTTTATCCCAACTTTCCCAGCACACAATACATATAATGGTTGCAAAATATTCAAAGTTGAGGTAGAACAACAGAATAATGATTTAAAAATAAGAAAGTAAAAATCCTATACCTAGCTTCCATCTTTGATCATTGTTCTGCTCTTGTACTCTGTGGGGGGAAAGGATTTTGTTTCAAAACACAGCTTGTATAAATCAAATACAATCGACTGGGCTATAGGAGAGTTGTTGATGGCTGCAGTGCATAGTCAATAAAGTAACTCACCTGTCTTGATTGTTGCAGAAAAAATGAAGTACTATACTATACATAATTTAGTGCCATCTGCTGGCCATACAGGGGAGGTCATTTGGTTCAGTTTTTAAACCGATTACTTTAAAGGGTGTCTTAAAAGGCTATGATTGAGGGATTTGATTCAAGGCCAGTTCAATAACATCATCAAACTGAGTTTCTGAAAGTCAAATTGAGTTGTCAAATCGATGTGACAATTCATAAAAATCAAATTATCATTCAGAGCCATACATGCACAGTGACACAGCTCTGCTGTATGTATGGAGTTCCATCTTTAATAGGCAATCTTTGCAAGCACGTATACTTAAGAGCACCAGCTTGTAAAAAAAAATAGCAGATAATTCTTCACACACACATTTTGCTACTCAACAGCCAGACACCAATTTTAGACTCCTATACAACACAAGAAACAATGCAGGTTTTTTTCACCTAAATATGGAGCGTCTCGGGGATCAGGTTTATTACTTTTTAATAAACCTGATTCAGATCCCATTGATTTAGCTTAATATATGTTTAGAAAGCCAGTGTGGTGTGGTGGTTAAGAATCAGGCTAGAAACCAGGAATCCTTAAATTCTAGTCCTAGAATTTAGAGCTGGATGATCTTGGGCCAGTCACTTTCAGGAAGTGCCTAGGAAAGAGGCAATGGCAAACTACTTCTGAAAAACTTTGCCAAGGAAACTGCAGTGAGTTTCAAGAGCCAAACAAAAATGAATAGAAGGGGGGGAAAGGTAGTGTTTCAAATAATTACAGCTTCTAAGCATAATTATTAGATGTTTTTACAACAGATTTAACACGTAAAGGCTTAGTAGTTATGAGCCACGGTGGCACAGTGGTTAGAGTGCAGTACTGCAGGCAACTTCTGCTGACTGCCAGCTGACTGCAATTTGGCAGTTCAAATCTCTCCAGGCTCAAGGTTGACTCAGCCTTCCATCCTTCCGAGGTGGGTAGAATGACGACCCAGATTGCTGGTGGCTATATGCTGACGCTGTAAAAACTGCTTAGAAAGGGCTATAAAGCACTGTAAAGACGATATGTATGTCTAAGTGCTAAGTGCTATTGCTAGTTGCATTTACAAAATATGTTAAGCAAGTTTTTGCTCAGTGTCTTAATTTGATTTATAAATGCATCCCTTATGGTTAGTTTATGGTTGAAAGGTTTGTATGTACCCAGAAAATTTTACAGGTCATCACAGGTAGGAGCTACTAGCCAACCTTGAAGATTTTGAAAAAAGTTAAGCAGGTACTGATTAGTACTTGAACTTAGTCGGAAGACTCTCCTGAGCTTTGCTTAGACCATAGAATAGAATAGAATTCTTTATTGGCAAAGTGTGATTGGACACACAATGAATTTGTCTTGGTGCATACGCTCTCAGTGTACATAAAAGAAAAGATACATTTGTCAAGAATCATAAGGTACAACACTTAATGATAGTCATAGGGAAACAGTCAAAATAAAACTTAAGGATACCAGCAACAAGGTTACAGTTATACAGTCATAAGTGGGAGGAGATGGGTGATAGGAACTATGAGAAGATTAATAGTAATGCAGACTTAGTAAATAGTTTGACAGTGTTGAGGGAATTATTTGTTTAGCAGAATGATGGCGTTCAGGAAAAACCTGTTTTTGTGTCTAATTGTTCTGGTGTGCAGTGCTCTATAGCATCGTTTTGAGGGTAGGAGCTGAAGCAGTTTATGTCCAGGATGCGAGGGGTCTGTAAATATTTTCACAGCCCTCTTTTTGACTCGTGCAGTATACAGGTCCTCAATGGAAGGCAGGTTGGTAGTAACTGTTTTTTCTTCAGTTCTAATTATCCTTTGAAGTCTGTGTCTGTCTTGTTGGGTTACCATGAATTATGTATGTGTCAATTTTCATGACCAGGGTCAATCAAGCAGTGATGAACTTTTGGGCTGAATGGCTGTGTTCTGCTTTACTACTCTGGCATACTACAAATCAGTTCACTCTGATTCTAAAGATATTAGCCATATCTGTAGGCAAAACATCAGGACTGCAGTCATTCAAATATTCATCACTATCAAACTATTCATAGAGGGTGATGCAAACCACTTCTGGAGGAGAAAACAATATGGTAGGTCCATAATGTCACCAAGAACAGTGCTTGATGCAAACTTCAAGTAAAAGATACTGTCTGAACATAGCCCTAAAGAACCAAGTGTCATTGAATGCATTAGGACTTAATTTTAAAATTATCCTTTGCCCTTTCTGTTTGCTTTTGAGAATCCCAAGCTCTGCCTATCATAAACTATGCTCAGTTATTTTTTTTTTAATCTGAATAGCTCACTGGATGACTTGAAATAGATCAAAATATTTCTTCCCACTTCTAATTGTTTTATAATATGTGAATATCCTAGGTCTATTATTCTCTTGTTCTCGGTTCCAACAAGAGCATAATAGATATACAGGCAGGCAGGCAGACAGATAGACTTGTCTGATTTTTGTATCTAAGAGAATATCCAACCTCTTTTAGATAGCTGTGCTCAAATATATTTTTACAAAACCACATTCTGTACAACCTCTCCCAGATATGTATGCTCAAGTATAACAAAAGGAATAACTAAAAACTTTTAAAATCTCAGTGATTATTTTAATTAAGAATCACACATAACATATTCAGGAAAATATTTCATATTTCAGCTTCTAGAACCTGACTAGTTATCAGTCATGCATTGAGTAGCTGCACTCCAGGCTTCCTGTTTCTCATTGTCATTCATAATCACCACAACCAGGAAAAAGTGATTCAAATACAGAGGTTCTGGATTGTAACTACACAGTAGTTATGTATTTGGATAATAACCTCCAGCTAGCTCATTTATTTTTCCTTGAAAAATGGGTGGGAGAAAGCAGTTCCTGGGATTAATCAAACAATGGTAGCTACAATACAATGGAGAAAATGAATTGGTTATGTCATCTTTATATAGGTTAAAATATTGCCTATTATGCAAGAGCCCTAAAGGAGATTCAATTCTGATGTTGAATCTAGAACTTTCTTCAAACAAACCATGAGGGCCATTTCCAAAATGGTTTTGTTTTTTTTTTTGCAGTTCAGAAAGATTGGTTTTAAACAGAGTTTGCTGGAGTCTTGGAGACATACTTATCCAAATGTGTTTGAGGAAGCAAATGCTCCCTTGCAGCTTTATGCTTCGACTTTGACAAATGCGAATTGTTCAGAAATGTACAGCCTATACGTAGAGCATGACTGCCACTCAGTGGCCACTGGATGCTTTGTTCTGGCTTAGTTGGTTCCGATTTTTTTTTCCTGGTAAATCTTCCCATGCCACAAAAAGGGGCCAAAACAAAGCTTGAGATCAACACAACTTTCTTTATAACTTGCATATTGTTTCAATAATTGAAGTATGCTTTTTGAAAGATAGCTGAGTTTCAGTTCATACTTTGATGAGAAAATGTTTAATTAGAAAAGTTTGTACTCGTATGGAAACTAAATGAATTTCTCCTGTTGATAATAGATAATGGGACAGAAATAAGGAGGAGCAGAAGGAGAAATACATGAACACACTCATGAGAGAGAAGCACATTGGTTGCATCTTATCCAGGAACTCCCAAAACCTGGTGCTATGAGCAATGGTCTCTGACAATACCATAACTAGGATTGTTGATGATACCATTCTACTTATCTCAAATTCTTTATCCTCATTCCACAGAAGCCTGGATCGCCTTGACTCTGTTGAGATCCTTTTACCACCAAAATTTCCAAGCTGGGAGGAAGAATACAATCAAATCTCAGAAAACCTGGACGAGTCCAGTTGCATCAATCAGGTGAGGGTCAACATACAACAGCTATCCACAAAGCACAGCAAAAGCCATTTTCAAAGGAAGAAGTGAGACAAGAGAGAAGCTTTTTTTTTTTCAAAGCCAAAAAAAGGCTGCTTTACAATAGACTTTTCCAGCTTTGATGGTCTCTAGATACGTGTTCAGCTCTAGATATGTGTTCCTGTTGGATAGAGAATTGTGGGAAGTGAATTCTACACATTTGGAAAGTTCTAAGTTGCGAAGGCTATTCTACAAAAGTGTAGATGGAAACCTAAAGATGATTTTGCATTTCCAGATGTGAAATTGAATACTTTCATTTCCTATCATATTTTTATTTGAATCTCTTTTCTTTCTCTTCACACCTTAATACTATACAAAGAGCTGCAGCAGATTACTATCACAGGGTATATAGATGAGAATGCAACTAACAATAAATATATTTAAAGTGCATTTATGAAATTTCATCTTTATAGTCAGATATTTTCACTACACTTAATCAGCTCATCTTAACAGATCTTAACAGATTAACAGAGTTGGAAGGGGCCTTATAGATCATCTAGTCCAACCCACCCACCCCCCGCTCAAGCAGGAGACCCTACACCATTTCTGACAAATGGCAAACCAATCTTTTCTTGAAAGTTTCAAGTGATGAAGATCCCACAACTTCCGAAGGCAACTTCTGTTCCATTGGTTGATTGTTCTCACTGTCAGGAAGTTCCTCCTCATCTCTCCTTGGTCAGTTTCCATCCATTATTCCTTGTCTGGCCTTCAGGTGCTTTGGAAAACAGCTTGACCCCCTCCTCTCTGTGGCAGCCTCTCAAGTATTGGAAGATGGCTATCATGTCTCCCCTGGTCCTTCTCTTCACTAGACTAGCCATGCCCAGTTCATGCAACCATTCTTCATATGTTTTAGTCCCCTAATCATCCTGGTTGCTCTCCTCTGCACTTTTTCTAGAGTCTCCACATCTTTTTCATAGTGTGGTGACCAAAACTGGATTCAGTACTCTAGGTGTGGTCTTGCTAGGGCTTTATAGAGTGGTATTAGTACCTCACTTGATCTTGATTGTATCCCTCTGTTAATGCAATTTAGGATTGTGTTGGCATTTTTAGCTGCCACTGCACACAGCTGGCTCATATTTAGCTGATTGTCCACTAAGACTCCAAGATCCCTCTCACAGTCATTAAGGCTGGTTTCCCCCAGTTTATATGTGTGCTTTTGGTTTTTCTTACCTAAGTGTAAGACTTTACTTTTCTCTACATTGAATTTCATTTTGTTAGATAGGGCCCAGTGTTCAACTCTGTCAAGATCCATCTGGATCTTGAGCCTATCTTCTAGGGTGTTAGCTATTCCTGCCAGTTTGGTATCATCTGCATCTATTTCCTACATGGCATATCTGCCTATACACAGTTCACATATAATACAGTTCTCATATAACCATGTTATACATACACCAAATTTCTGGATTCTTCTTAGAAGTTCACAGAAGCACCTGAGGACAGAAAAATATTGGGCTACGTAGAATTTTCAAGTCTAACCCATCACGGCTCTTAATATGTTCTTAAAATACTTCTCTGTAACATATTATTGCTTAACGCATTGTAAGCGGCCCTGAATCTCCGGAGAAGGGCAGCATATAAATCAAATAAAAAAATAATAATAATAATAATTACTCCACATAACCCTATCTAAAATTTCCTAATAAACATTTAAGATTACAGTAATTGCATTAATTGTAGTCACCAAGTGTTGCATATAATAAAATAAATATATTTGTAGCGCAGAATTGTTACACAGAGAAATCTAATTCAGAGTTCTGTCTAGATTTCCCTTTTTCTATTCCTTTTCATTCTAAATTGCTTTCTTTTTTTTTAATTTGTAAACTTTTATTAATTTAAGAAACCAAAAAATACATTTATAAATATAAGTAAAACAATATACAACAAGCATCATCTTAATGACATCTAAATGTAATGTCTGAATTATTACAATATCAATAATTGGTATTGATTATAAACAACACATCTGCTTTATGTTATGGCATTGATTATTCTTCCTTCCTACAGCAACTTTTAATTTGTAGTACAATTAGAAATGAAAGATTATAAATTTATTTCACTATCTTTTAATGCAGTAGCATGTAGTGTGGCACTATTCAGATATGGGTAGTTAAATTTCTTCAGATTATAGATATCTGGCAGTTCTGCTAAGAGGAAAAGATAGCAAAGGTCAAGATTACTGTTTTCAGTTCAGTAATCAACTTGAATGTAGAACTAGGGAAGATCATAATCAGCCTAATAACCAGATGCTGTGGATGGTCAATTAGGCTGAGAGTCAGAGAAGCCATAAACATGAGCAGAATAACACAATGAAATAAGCTGGAATGACAGAGCATGGAAAAATGTGAAATAGAATTTGATAAGAAATAATTAGATTCTACTCCTTTCGCATTCTTCATTTCTTTGTATACTTCTTCAGAATCTTCATACTGTATTTCCATATTTCCAATTACTTTTGTATATTTCCCAAGCAATAAACCCTTTCAGAACCAAAGAGCGTGCTGAGATGCCTGCCATCTGCCCCATCATTTGTAAGATAGAAATTATATAAATTAGATAGATGATGGATGGGTAGAGACCGACAGACAAACAGACATCCACGTGATATTTTGTGCCTTCCTCGTAGCTCTTTTCTTAAACTCTGATGTTCTCACTGGTGAGCGTAATGAAATTTCTCTCCAACAACCTCTTTAAGTCAATAATGTCTTGAGGGCAGCTGGCCTGGAAGAATCTAGATGGTATAATACATACAACTCTCTTTGCTACCACCTACAGCAGCCTCTTCCTCCATTGCACCTCATTAATCCTCTGAGAATTGGTCAATGACATAATCTTTACCACTGGAGATATTACTTGGGCTAGTGGGAGTTATATTCTCAAATATTGGTAAGGGACCAGATTGTCCCTGATGCTGTAATGAACTTGAAATCTTCAACATTGTTAGACATAAACTTTGAGATCACCATGCCACTTCTAAACCTCCTATTTCAGAGGTTTTCGCATTTGTAACTACAACATGATTATGTCTCTCTTTTTTTGTCAATCTTCATGATGCTGCTTTCATTTCTTCCCCAAACTGTTCCTGAGACAGCTTTAAATCATCCAGAGCTCTTCCAGTTTTAAAAGTGTTTTCCCTTGTAAGCAGACAACAAGTCATGGTAGTTTCAAAGTGGGCACAATATAACCTGTTTATGACCATTCAATTTGTATCATAGATAGCCATCACTAGGGAGGGAGTTGGCCTGGTCACTAGTGTGGCCATGCTCCTTCCCCTTCAGTCCCTGGACACACATTTTAATTCAGCAAAAGAATCTGAATCTTTCAAACCAGTTTATTCTTCTAGTTCTAGAAGATCTTCAATCTATTTCTCATCTCAAAGACTTGAGTTTGAAAGCAGAATCAGCCTGAATATCATCTTATGGGGACTTGAAGGGCTGTACCATAGGGGAGAGAGAGGAGGGAGGCTTCACTTGTAAGACATGCTGACAGCCACAGGTTTAATGTGCTTCTGAAGAGCTCTAAACATGTGTTTAAATATTCTTACTTAATAGCTAAGAAGTGTGAACGAGATAGAGCCAGTGGTGGGATTCAGCCAGTTCGCACCACTTCAGGAGAACCGGTTGTTAACTTTCTGAGCAGTTTGGTGAACTGATTGTTGGAAGAAATCATTAGGGCAGAGAACTGGTTGTTAAATTCTTTGAATCCCACCACTGGATAGAGCCTTCTTCCCTCACCATTTGCCATGTGAGGCAATCATATTATTTTGCCTAGAGATAGCTCTGGTGAGATTTTGATATAGTTATTAAGTTTGTAGTATATATTGAGATTATGAAAAAGAAAAACCTGGAAACTGAACCTCCTCATAGTGATATCTCAGTTAGTTCAAAGGTTTTACAAGACTAGTAACCACATAACAATATTTTGAATATAAAGACCTTATACTTCATTACATGTTGAGGAAGGACATCATCAAAGAGTAGTTATTCATGCATAGAATTGGGAGATCAACATTGTCTGAACTGTGCTAGAGATTATGGGCGATGGACAGCAAAATAAGATTTCATGGTAAGATTCAATTATGACTTATGAAAGAATTTCTGTGACGTTTGTCAAAAAATTTCATTTGTCTGTTTCTCAAACTATTTTTTCTATAAAATGTTTTGGGAAGTTTCTTGGAATACTGAAAAAAAAATGCCATGTTGGTTTTGTCCAATGAGTAGTAAATGTTGTCTATGTCCTGGATACATTCAATGAAGAATGATTTTCTTTTTATTGACTCTCCATTAAAATTAACAGTTATGTTGATCTGACCTAGAATTCAGATGGTAGCCTTGCCCCTTGCTTATTCCTCCAAAGAACAAAGTCAAAATATTTCCTAAGTTACATATCTTTTCAGGCTTTTCAATAAAATTTGGGTAAGCTCCTAAGAATAAATATTTTTCTTTAGACTGGCTACTGGCTAGACTGTTCTTGGGCTACTGCACTGTATGCCTAACTATAGTTAGGAACCAGTGGTGGGTTTCAAAAATTTTTACTACCAGTTCTGTGGGTGTGGCTTGGTGGGCGTGGCAGGGAAAGGATACTGTAAAATCTCCATTCCCTCCCTAATCCAGGGGAAGGATACTGTAAAATCTCCATTCCCTCCCCAGTCCAAGGGAAAGTTACTGCATCCCCATTTCCTCCTGATCAGCTGGGACTTGGGAGGCAGAGAATAGATGGGGGTGGGGCCAGTCAGAATTTTTACTACCAGTTCTCTGAACTACTCAAAATTTCCGCTACCAGTTCTCCAGAACTGGTTAGAACCTGCTGAAACCCACCTCTGTTAGGAGCCTACCACGGAGTAATAGAACATTAGGTATGTGATAGCACTGGGGGAATATAAAATAGTGATTGCTATCTAGTGCTAATTAGAATATTGTTCCTGCCTTCTGCTGTCAATTCAGAGTAAGTCTGGAGAGCCCTAAGGATAATCATTGAAGGAAGATACACCAGGATATACTTCAAGGGCCTTTTCTAGCCTAGAGCTAGTTCTGTACTTTCAACCAGAGTTGGCTGAAAGGTGGGCAGCTATATAAATATTTAAATAAAATAAATAAGTTGTGTTGCTTGTTATAAATTTATCACTGTTGATATGATAACATCAATGGTGTTCCAATGTATTTTGCAGCAAACTTGATAAACCTTAGAGTCAATTTCCTGATAATCCCCAAGCTAAGGTTTTAAATTATACAAAGATGTTCTGCTTCTACTTTCAGAACATTGTGAACAATTTATGGTGCTTGACTGTCCCTAGAAGCTTTAGATCTAGTTCTTAAGATCAAAATGTACTCTAAATTATAATGTTCAGAATCAGAGAGCGAAAGAAGAAGACTATTTATTATATGCATGTCTTGAATGTAATCAAATAAAATAGATGTAAATGTCTAAATGTAAATGAAATAGATTCATTTAATTTTCCCTGGCCTCATTCAATAAGAACCATAGAAGGCCTCTTAAAAAAAGGTCCAGTTAATATTTACAAGATATACCTGAAATCATAAAAAATATATCCAAAGAAAATGCTTAAATGTAGTCATGAAACATGATCTTTATAAAAGTGATAAGGATCTTCAAATTAACCACATTAAGCTTTCTTAAGCTGTTTCAAAATATAGGGTAAATTTTGTAATTTGGAAAAAGATGTTCACTGTGTGCATAAATAAGATTTCATTTGATAACCATTTTAATTTCCACACAGGCATCTGAAAGCAGGTTTTCGACTGAAAAGACAATGAATAGCAGGGAATTTTCTATCACAATCTGATTAACATATTCCTAAAAAGAACTTGGATTGACCCCAGTACTTTTCTGAATGGCTCACTGAAGTTATCTTTCTCACCTTCATAAATCATGTTTGAGTTCAATGCTTGTTCCCAAGTTGTTAAAACTGGGAAGAAGCCTTCAAACAAGCACTCCTCCCACATCATTTTCCATCCATCTTTTATGTGCCAGTTTCCACATTTTATCTTTCTTTGAAACTTATCTCAAATACAGGGTTTGCAGTGATAACCATAACAAGTTACAAACTGCAATTGTCCTTTTTTTTCTGGGATATACACCTTGTCAAAGTAATCAGGCTTATTGTCAACTGGGGCATACTTATACAATTGACAAGATCTTCTGGACCAAGCAAGACTATCTCTTATGAGATGTTGATTATAAGAGGATGAGATTACATAGGTATTGGGGGGGAGGATTTAAAAAGTATGAACTATTTGGAAGCCCCACTTATAAAACCAACAGTTGACATGTTTTTAAATCCAGCAACAATTTTTCCATTTAATATATTACAGGCACACTGCTAAAAGGTAGTTTTAAGTGTACCAAAAAGCAAAAAAAGGAAATTGCTAAACTGTTTTTACTTTTAACATTTCTTCAAACACACATTTCCAGAATTTGAAAGTAAATAGTCATTACTAAGTCATATTGAATTCTTTAAGAGGGGTCTAAGACAACTTGTCACCATTGAATCGCCACCACCACCTAGAGGTGGGCTTCAAAAAATTTAAGCAAGGGGTTCTCTGCCCGGGTGCTGGGTGGCGTGGCCATGGTAGGAGTGGCCGCCTAGTCGGCCTCCTGCACCATGGCGTGAGGGCATTTTTACCCTCCCCAGGCTCTGGAGACTTTCCTCGAGCCTCCAGGAGGGCGAAACAGCCTCCCCAGGCTTTGGAGGCCCGCTGGAGGCCAGAAACGGGCCTGTTTCCTGCCTTCCCAAACTTCCGGTAGGCCTGTTTTTCACCCTCCCCAAGTCTCCGTGTGCACCCTGCACTTACCTGCATCCAAAATGGGCCATGTGGGGACTCCTGAGAGGGGCAGGCTGGGGTAGGCTTGGCCAGCCAGGAGTGGGATTTGGGGTTTTTCTTCACTGCACAGAATCTTAGCTTAGGTTCTCCCGAACCTCTGAAACTCCCAGCAGTCCACCCCTGCCACCACCTCTCTCTGGCCAACTCGATGTGGGACAATTCACCTTGGCTGACTCAATATGGCACAACTCACACAGGATGGACAATTCTCCCACAAGGAGGAGAAGGTGGCGGTTCCTCTCACTTCTGGCATTCTCCTGTGGTGAGCTGTCCTATGGCAAGGGAGGAAGAGAAAGAGGAGGAAAGGAGAAGTAGGTTTCCTTCACCTTTGGCATTCTTCCACAGTGAGTTGTCCCACAGCGAGCTGCCTGGGGAAAGCCAGCCAGGCTGGTGGCAGCAAGCCGGAGGCAGCAAGTTTCCTCTTTCCATTAGGAGAAGTACATGCAGTTCTCATTACACTTTTTGTGTGTGATTCTACAATGAGATAGGTTTAGGTAAATTAAAACCACCCACTGCTGGATCTATGCACTCCACTCTTGGTTGAAAACATGCAGGGTTTTATATGAATACCGCTTCACTTTAGATAGTTAAGGTTGACATTGGCTGATGCCTTTATGGTAGAGTTGATGGAAATGCTATAAAGCTGTTAGCATTTATTTCTTCTTAAAGTACAGATGGGTCTTTTCAAATGTATAGGTAGACAGATCTATGCCTGAATACCTATTTTAAGGGAAGCTGAAGGGAGAAGATCGGTTTATCTAATCCATCACTTTAATCATTGGAGGACAGCACTCTTTGTTATTTGATCTTTAAATTCCCATCTTCTGAACATATAAATACTTCTACCAAATCCATCTGAGTTTGTAATCAATATAAAATGTCAGCGCAATGCAACTCAGATGCATATAATCCATATAATGTAATCAATATATTCTAGTTAAATTCTTTTTGTTGTTTTCATCTTTCATCATAGATATGTGTGGTTAATTCTGTGCAGATATAGTTTGAAAAAAAGAAGGAAAGGAATTTGATACATGCGTTAACAGTAGCCAGACTAAGTAGAGAGCTGTTTAACATTAAGAATCTGTTTTTAATCATAACTATGTAGGATTATAGTCCATATTATTTTACACTGCGCTCAGTGTGTTTTCTGCCTTGATAACCCTCCTCAAAATTTGGTAGAAGAGACAACTAAAATGCTCAATAACTTTAATTACTCAGTTCAAATAGTGTAGGGAAAATTCTGCCCCGATATTGTGGAGTGAAATATCTTGGTTGTGTTCCAAAAATACTATTTTCAAAGAATATCATTTTTATTTAGATTTCATTCCCTATTAGCTTAGTGGAAATCAGAGAGAAAGTTAATTGTCTTATATAGATTTAATTTTGTTGAAATGTTAATTGTAATTAGGGATGTAATCTTTTAAGTGTTGTCTTGTTGTGTTTGATTAGTTGCCAGAAGAGCAGCTCATTCTTCTGGATGTGGATGTCACAGGTTAAAATTGTTCCATGGTTACTATTGTCACTTTGTGGTCCTGTTGAATGCTTCTCTAGCGAAGCTGCGAAATCCCAGTCCCTTATGCTTTAATTTTCTCCAACTCTTTCTTCCAGATATTTGGACAATCCTCATTTATTCCACAGATATTTACACAAGAAGATCAGGTACCGTCTATCTGACAACCTTCTAATGCCCCTTAAGATGATACTATACTGAAGTTACTTTACATATACTAAGATGAGAGCAAAAAGAAAAGCAGGATGTAGTTCTTCTCTATATTCACATTTTTTTTCTAAATTTCTATTTAAAAATGCATATATTAGGAAGATTATGCGCAAGAATTCGTAGAATAAAGTATACAGCAAGGAAAAAATAATTAAAAATTGTGTATATGAGTTGGAAGATGCTGAGCCATTTTCATGCAGATTTTAAGAAAATTCAGCGGGATAGAATCAACTTGTGCTTGAACAAAATGTGAAATTTACCAAAAGTGAAATATGGATTTATTCTTTATATTATATAAAGTTCTGACATTTCCTGTTTTCTTTTCAGTTCACTTTTCATTGAAAGTGCTTTTCTCTTTTTGCCTTTCAATGAAACCACATCAAATATCATATCAATCTTTTCATAGTATAGATTGATATGACTAAAGATCAATACATTTGAACGACAATTTATGAAGTGTGAGATAGAAACAAAGTCATCAGGAGGCCAGGAAAGAAAAAAGAAAGTGGCAAGGAAGGTTAAAAAGAGCAACCATATTGCTCAGTTTACTATTACTACAGTATTGGAGATCAATGCCAAGTCTGAATGACAAATATCATACCCAAATAGCCCAAAGACAGAATTACAATTGAAAAGAATGAGGGTAAAGACCATCTAGAATGCGACAGGAAATATTAACTCTAGCTTGTAGTAGCACAACAAATAATTTGGGGGGGGGAGTCTATAAAATGTTGAACATTGACAAATTTAAAATGCAGGCTTTAGAAAAATGAATAGAATGTATTATTTCTAAGTATAGACATGATCTAGGATTAGAAGATTTGGATTTTCTCACCAGAGATTATGGATGAAAGTTTAAGAGTTTTAAATTTCTGGTTAAAAAATCTGTTTTTTCCATATCACTGCCTTGACTCGTTAACGTTCTCAGCTATGAACATTCCATAGATCCATGTAATGAGAACCTCAAAAATCATTTTATCATAGCTGTGAGCTAATTTCATACATCCCTCCATGTTGGTGAGCCATCAAACTATATTCCATCCAAAAGATAGATAGATATTTGGTGGTCCAATGCATCCTTGTTGAATTTCCTTAATTAGTTGCTGCCTTAATGATAATACAAAAACAAGCATCTTGTATGCCAGAATTATGTAAAATGTGTAGCTTTGTTGTTCAGCCCCTACTGGAAAACAAAGAAATCTTACCTTGCAGCAAAAAAAAAAAAAAACCCAAAATCTCTTTTTGTAGATTCTGGAGCCCTGTAAGATTCAGAAGCAAATCATTGAACTACCAAGAGGCTATTTCCCTCTGACTTTTCAGCTGAAAACAAAATAAAATGGAGGAACATTGGTGTGTTAAACCTCAGATAGGCTTAATACTGCTAGAAAATTGAGGGAAAGTATCCATCTCTTTCAGCAGGACAATATTCTCGGATCCCAGAATTGCTGTCCTTAGAGATGTCATTATGCAATAGCCTTGTCCATTGTGGCCTTCTGCTGCCCCCAAATTAATAAATAATAAAAAGCAAGGCACCCCTTGGCAATGAAAAGTTGACATGAAAATAAATACAATAAACGTATTTACAGTAAAGAGAGCTTATGAAATATAGAGAACCGGTGACACTTTTGATGAAGAATGACCAGGTGTGTCCTTGCAGGCAACAGAAGAAGAGCTGATTGATCAATATGAAGGTATGTGTGAATCGGCTTACAGTGAAGCAGAATCAGCTGCTGTGGAAGTATTGGACCTGCCTCTTCCCAGCTACTTCCGTTCCCGGAGCCACAGCTACCTCCGAGCTATCCAGGCAGGTTGCTCCCAAGAAGAGGACACAGTTTCTGTTCAGTCCCTCTCACCACCCCCAGCCAGCACCATCAGTGGCAGCCAGACACTTCCCAGCAACAACAGTAAGTCAGGTTTTCTTTTCTTTTCTTTTTACTGTACTTGGAGTATACGAAGCTAAGAAATTTGTTTGGCATGGCTTGGGAAGTGTTTGATGAGCCTGGAGAGAGAATTTTGAAAAGAACTTAATAGAAATTTGTAGGAAATGTAGCCCAGAACAGATTGAGACAGAATGATAAACTAATTTTCCAGAATTAAAATTTCCTTCAAGAATTCACTCTTATTTTTATATATTAAGTCATGGCTTTTCAATGCAGCCTTTCCCAACTTAGTGCCATCCAGCTCTGTTGCAAGTACAATTTCTAGAATTCCCATTGGCCACACTGGCCAGGAATTCTGAACTTTGTCATCCAACACTTCTGGAAATCATTGTATTAAGGATGCTGCCACACATAAAAATATATTCAGAATTGTTTAAAAGTATTCTTCCATCTGTCTTGTATATATATATATAGTGTGTGTGTGTGTGTGTGTGTGTGTGTGTGTGTGTGTGTGTGAGAGAGAGAGAGAGAGAGAGAGACCGCAGTGCAATTGATGATGTGACTCAGTGGTGGGTTTCAAAATTTTTTACTACTGGTTCTGTGGGCGTGGCTTGGTGGGCGTGGCATGGCTTGGTGGGTGTGGCTTGGTGGGCATGGCAGGGGAAGGATACTGGAAAATCTCCATTCCTATCCCATGCCAGGGGAAGGTTACTGCAAAATTCCCATTTCCTCTCGATCAGCTGGGACTCGGGAGGCAGAGAATAGATAGGGGTGGGGCCAGTCAGAGGTGGTATTTACTGGTTCTCTGAACTACTCAAAATTTCTGCTACTGGTTCTCCAGAACTGGTCAGAACCTGCTGAAACCTACCTCTGATGTGATTCATATAACTTTTATCCAAACAAAATGAAATATTGCCACTGAACATAGTGATAGTTATAAATTTGCAAGTATTTTATTTGCAAGTATTTATTTTATACTAGCCTTAGGCCAGCAATCCTAAATAACAATTACAAGGATACTGTTTTGTAACTGTGATCTCAGATATTAACTTATAACTACAATTAGATTACTGTAAATTGCTGAATTATCTAAATCTTGCCGAATGAAGCAGAAGGTGGTAACACTGATTCTGGACCATAAGCAATTTGGCAAGAAAAGCTGAACTCTCCCTTTGGGTTCCGCCATGTAACCGCTTCTTATGGAGACCTGAACTGTGTTGCTTATCCTACAGGAAGATCTCACCCAGCAATTTTTGAAAGTAATGTAACTGCTGTGGAAAACTAAAGGCAAGGGAATCATCCTTCTAATCACCAGGCACCCTTCCTAAAAAGAAATACCCTTGTTTCTCTGGGGGAGCTCTTTGCAAAGGATTCTGGCGTGTTGACAGTGCTTCACAGAAACTCTATGTTAGCACTGACAGGGAACTGAAGCTTAATACTGTATAGCAGATTTATTTTATGTGGTAGCAGTCCTAACTTTCCACTCACCTTGCAATAGCCCCTCTGTTCCTGTCTCTTATTTTTCTCATAGCTGGATTCGGGTCCAGTATTTTGAGCCTGGGTTGAAAAAAGATTAGCACTGGGAGAGAGACTGCAGGAGCATAGAAGGGGGTCAGTGGAAGTCTAGTTTCTTTTCTCAAGGACAGTTGCAAACCTTAGTGGTGATAGCAATATTGCTCCTGAACGAGCCCAATGGGAGGTCTTCTCTCATTATATTTTCCTTGGAATTTCATTGAAGTATAGAAATTAGGAGGGAAGACTGCAGACTGCTAAAAAAAAAATACAGGATAGTGACAGCAGAACATCAAGGATACCCTTTGGCTGGGCAAAAACTTAAGTATAAGAATATCACATTATGTTATGGTTGTATTCTCCTTTTTAAAGTAGTTCTAAAATACGATCCCTTTCATCAAAATGAATGACTAGAACTGATGAAAGTCCCTTTCATCAAACTGAATGAGGATTGGAATTTTTTTAAAAAAAATCTGCATTCTTTATTAAAAAAGCGCTCCATGGCTTAGGGCCTGGTTATTTACGGGACCGCCTACTACCACCAATAGCCTCCCACCGGCCAGTACGTTCTCATAGAGAGGGACTCCTCCGGGTGCCGTCAGCCAAACAGTGTCGACTGGTGGCCCCTAGGGGGAGAGCCTTCTCTGTGGGGGCACCTACCATCTGGAATGAGCTCCCCCCGGAGATACGGAGGATCCCGGATCTGCGTTCCTTCCGCCGTGCTGTGAAGACCTTTTTATTCCATCAAGCGGGCTTGGCCTGATCTCTTCCCTTTTTAAATACGTAAATTTTAATCTGTTTTTAAATTATTGGGGTATTTTAATTTGTCTGGGCCAAATAATTTAATTTGATTTTATCGGGTTTTTAAATTTTGTGTATTTATGTATTTTATTGTTGGCTGTTCACCGCCCTGAGTCCTTCGGGAGTAGGGCGGTATACAAATCAAATAAACTAAACTAAACTAAACTTAAACACTAAAGAAAAGCATCTTGCTAGACTGTGATTATTTATCTATTTTTGCTCTTTGGTTATTTGGTATCCAGAGCCTGTCAGCACCAGCGTTTTAAATTATTTTCTATCCACAAGAATTTTGTATCTGAGTGTCAAGTTTACAATAATATGGAGCAGTAGATTAGTTAATAATGATAGGCCCTATGAAAATTCTATTCCCATTGGTTCATAACAAAATCTTGTCACGTGGCTAAGCTAGCTATGATGAGGGAGACTAAATGTTCTCAAAACATCTGCCTGAGCACAGCACACTTCCAAGTCTTCTTCCACCCTTAATCCTCTAACTCATTACTAAAGATTTTCCCCAACAGATGGGTGGGACCACACCCACAGCAACTACTTTTCTGCTGACTTCTGCTGATTGCAGCAGCGGCAAGTCATTTGAAGTGTATATCTCAAAATCCTATCCTAGATATGGAAAGAGATAGCCTCCCACAATTTGTGGGATATGTGAATCAATTCCACTATTAGAGAAACAAGAAAGTTTGTCAGGATAGGACAGCGCTAGGGTGCAGAACTCCAGAAACCCGATGAGAACAATTCACAAAAAAATAATTCCAGATGCTTATCATCTTGAAACAAATGAAGTGATGTATGATGCAATACAACGCCCTTTGAATTGTAAATCTAAAATTACTGAATTGCACCATCGAGAGGCAAAAGGATGAAATATGATTAATGCATCTCAAGAGGATCGAACACAGCTGTTGATGATTGTGATGATCATGAAGAAATTTTGACTAAGGCTTGGAATAGGAATTCCTAGTAGGAACTGGGTATTATAAAACTTTGAAAAGAAACAACTTCAAGAGGATACAAAGTGCTTGGAAAGATGTCAGGACAGAAAGGCCATAATCTGAATGCACGAACCAGAATGCAAAACATAATAATCTTAAAATTATAGAACGGCATAGTATACTTCAGTTAACAATAAGAGCTGCTCAACATTAGAAATAATTACCTAGAGCATTTGAATCCTCAAAGGCTGAATTCCAGCCAAGAAAAGCTGATTATCATTTTAGCTGAGCCCAAATATCAGAACGTTTCCCATGGCACATTTATTGTATTGGCTTTGCTAGCTGGTGGTGGAGTACCTTTTAAAATAAATTTGCCTGTATGGTTCTGAAAGCATTGAAATAGTTATATTTTTATTGACCACGTGCTTTTATAGAGGCTATACAGTGAGTTAATTTTCCCTCTTTTATCACCTCTTCATAGTGTACAGATAATGGTTATGTTTCTTTCTTGGGGTGGGTATTCCAACTGATACAATTTACAAAATACCTAGATTTCTTATGGCAACCTATAAAGTCCACTAAGAGCCTGTTGTGCCTTTGCTTGTTATTTCTAAATGAGCTATATACTTGCAATTCTATCTCATGCATTTATGTATTAGTATTTTGTTGCTGGTCCTGGATTGTAATAAATTCAAGGGAGATGATAAGTTCCCCTTGAATGGAGATGTTCAAACCGAAGTTGAACATCAGCCACCCTTTTTAAAAGAAGACTATTCCTGTTGATCTGAATTACTGAAAATCTGTTTAGAAAAATGAGTACTTTGGGAATATGAGCACTTTGGGAATAACTGGAAAATAAAGCAGAAAGCGCAAATAACAACTGCTTGGATTGTTTGCTTGGATGGAAAATTGTTAATTTGTTTAAGAAATCCAAAGCTGTGTCTGAAAAAGTTGGGTTTATATTCTCTTATATTCTAGTTGGCTTTATGGTGGTGCTTGTTCATGCTAAACGATGGGAATAGCACAATTTTAAAACAGATCGGTGGGATACTGCATTCAACGTGTATGTGTGTAAAAGAAGTGCTACAGTTAAACATTGCTTTTATTGACTTCTCTCGCTTTCTTACTTTTTATCTTATGAATGATAAACCTTAGCAGGTACCAGGGGCGGTTTTGTAGAACTTTTCTATGGACTGGAGGATGTTGGTTTCACTTGCTCACCTACCACTCACCTCCTGCGGCCAAGTTCCTAACAGGCCACGGACTGGTACCCATCTGTAGCCCAGGGGTTGGAGACCTCTAGAACAGGGGTCACCAACCTTTTAGACCTCAGGGACCACTAAATTCATAATTTTAAATCCCGTGGACCACTAATATGATCTGCTTAATGACTGGCTGGGTGGGCGTGTCTAGGTGGTCATGTGACTGGGTGGACATGGCCAACTGGATGTCGCTCACTTTGAGGGGCGTCTCGCTGGCCTCTATTCACCCCTCCCCTCCTACTCACTCCTCCCCTGCCTGCCCAGGCTCTTTAGGGCCCCAACAGGAAACAGTTGTTGGAGCTAAGCAGACACCACGAGAAAGAGTTGGCAAAACAGCTGGCTCAATTCAAATTGGATCTGACAGAGAAGGAGGCTCAGTAGAAGCACCTCACTGGGGACTACGAGCATAGGCTTTCCAAGCAGAGGGAAGACCTGCAGGAGTGCAAGGCCAGTTACCAGTGCCCGGAGGCTCAGCAGACTGAGATGGTCAGCCAGTTCCAGG